ACCTGGGGCTAGAACGAATCAGAAGCAGAATTCAATATAAACTTAAAACCGGGATTTCGCCGAATAATCTGGATACAGATCTGGAAAACTGGATTCATCACCAAACAGTTGCCTCAAATCCTGTCATGAAGAAATAGTGGGTGAATACGCACCCTCATCTGGAAAGTGTCTCTGCTTGGATGATCCGTTGGTTTAACGTTGATTTTAAAAAATATCAATAATTGGGGTTGTTGGTTGTTAGTACCTGGCACTGGGGCAGAAATACATAATAAATAAATAAATGGTGCATTTAAATCAATATTATGCAATTCAACTGTATATATACATGGTTGCGCCCCATGATATTCCAGTTCTAATGTTGGGAGAGTTGAGGTTTAGTAGAAGAACTTTGCCAAGGATATCCAGGTCGCTTGCAAAGCTTGAAGAGGTCCCAAAGAGTATCGATCCTCAGCATCCCCACCAGACACGTTCAATACTACCCCATATGCTGCATGGTGCTGGAATATTTACCAACATTTGCCTTAACAAATATCCAAAATGTAGGTAAATATACCATACATGGAGCATATGATGCCAAACAAACAACAAACAAATCGGACATGAAGACGTATAGTTCATGCTTGACTTGTTCATCCCAAAAAATATCGGTCAATTGGCCAGCATCATCCCAAACAACAACAGAAAATCTAGGCCTATCGGACATCCGAGAACAAAATTGGAGAGACTACAATTTGTCACGCCGGAGATTCAAGTGTTGGGCCTCCGATGGGGTCCCTGAAGCTTTGGGATTTAATGGATTTTATCAAACGTGAAGGGAAGCCGGGAAGCACATGGAAAATGCTAGTGGCATGAACCATCCCTGACCAGCGCCCGGCGATCCAAGAAGGTCATCCGAACAATGAGGAGCTTTCCTCGACCAAATATCATCTCAAATATGTAACCAAATTTCGGCGCCAGTTTCGTACGTTTGTTCACAACAATTCTGACAAAAATCAGAATACCAAGCCCGGACTAATATACCCTGCTATCTGCTTAATAATTATACTTGGAGATCGTTGGAGAGTTTGGAAGGATTACCCATTAAATCCCTGGCACCGTACCAAGCAACAAAGCCTCTGTCAAGTTGGGCGTGCCAGCCAAATGGTACAGCCTCAAGACTTGGGGTGATGGGCCTTCACCATTCAGCTGCCACTGAACATCGAATGTTGCAGGATTGCCATCTAAGGTACCTCTTTTTGCCACTAAGCCATAAAGTGGGGCACCCTCATTTTCAGCCAAATCCAAATATCAGATTTACAGAATGGTTGTGCATACATTACATTACATTACATTACATTGCATTGCATTGCATTGCATCACATCACATCACATTACATTATATTACATACATACATGTATAATATATTTAAAAACTATATACAAATTATATATATATATGCAAATTATATATATACAAATTATATATATATACAAATTATATATATATACAAATTATATATATACAAATTATATATATATATAAATTATATATATATATAAATACATTGTATATATTATATACAAATTAAATATATATATAAAATATAAAAAACACATTATTTATTATTACCATCAAAAAAACATTTTCTCTCTCCCATTATATCCACCAAAAACCTACAGTTCCGTCATCTTCTGTTCCCAAATCCACACTCACACACACATATATATATAATGTATGTATAACTCCATCATATTCCATGATGAAATCCCAACTTGGTTAATCCATTTGACCCAGGCTCGCCATCGCCGAGGAACAGCGCTGCCCGCGTGTCACAGAGTTCATCCTCATCCAAGCTGCTCCAGCGCGACTCCAGGGCCTCTACCAATCCTTGGAGGTTCACCGGAAAACCCACCAGTTGTAGATCATTTTCCTAGGAAAACGCGTGGGTTTTTCACATCTATCTTAGTTTACCTTATGGGTAATTAGATGTGATGAGTGTAATGTTGGTGAAGCATAGTCAAGCAATGCCATAAACCACACAATATGGATTGATGGTTTATACCACCCATAAACACGGTAAGTCATTGGGGATGACGGATCATATTGCTTTGCTAACATTACAAGACACGCGAAGAGAACAGGATAACAACCCGGGAGTTCATCAAGAAAGGTGGGCATTCAACGAAAGCAAATTTTACCGAGAAAAACTTGGGATGTTAAACTCTGAGTACAGTAGGTATGGTCCTGATCTGTCATGGAACGGATTGATGACTTTCGAGCGATCTTTCAAACAAAAATCATGCTGACAAAACTGTGCAGAATCACATCAAAGGAGGTGGTCCATGCATGTGTTTGTGTCTGAAAATGGTGGTGTACCCCAAAATTGTGTGATTTTTCCCGAGGACATGATGATCAAGTGATCAGGTATTTATCACACCAACTCATGTGTTTGCCCTGGCCAGCATGAGATACACAGTTCGCTCATGTTCGCTGTATAGCAAGGGACCTTGAGCAGGTAAAGGTTGCTTGGCTGGGGGAGGCATCCACAACTCCAATGCACGTCGTTCTTGCGCCTCGGCAATAGACAGTTGAGTTGTGGCTGCGTTCAACCCACGTTGCTGCGTCCCTTTATACCGGCTAGCTACTGGCTGGTTAAGAACGGATTTCCTATAATGGGTTGCGATAATCGCCCATATATATCCATATATATATATATATCATATATCGGACAGAAGAACCCCAGACAAGAATAAGCCAGCCTGGGTTTTGAACAGTGCCCAGTTGAGTTTCCAAACCTTTTGCTCCAGGGGGAACTAGCCGGTCAACATTGTGATTGACCTACATGCAACTTGCAACTTGAAAAACAATACAACGATCCAGTAATCAAACATGGCACTGGGAAACCCCTAAAAATCGGAAGGTCATTGGGAAAAGCATGTACAGGGGACTTTCTATTGCCATATTCTTCCAGGTGGTTGACATTCAATCGACCCCAACTAGTTGCAGCCGCAGCAATTGGGTAATGCTTATCACTCTGGGAATATTATTGCTGTTTAATTCCTTTCAAACTGGATACTTTTCATGGATCCATCATCGATCGGGGATAGACAACCGACAATGTCTAAAACCACCGTTCAGCCGTTCAGTTCCTGATTGTTGTGATCCCTTCCCCCTATTATTTACGTACCCCAAACCAAACGCCGGTAGAATGCAATAGATCCGTTCAGCTACTGGGTCCCTAACAGGAATGACTGTACATCTCATAGATATATGTGCAATTATTTATACATATATATATAAATAAATAAACCATGATCTTGGTATACGTGGGTATATAATAACATATTCCCCATGATCTCTCCACGAAATGTCCCCGTGGAATGCTGCCATGGAATATTCCTCGCCTCGGCGGAGCGGCGTTCTGTGTCCTCTGCGGCGGTTTCCAAGTGCTCCACCTGGCTTGGTGCTCTGGGCATCACCCATTTGATGACTGGTTGGTGGTTTCAACCCCTTTGAAAAATATGAAAGTCAGTTCGGGTTATTATTCCCAATGTATGGAAAAAAATGTTCCAAACCACCACGACCAAACAAATGGACAATTCCATACAATTCCGTTTTTTGGAAAAAAAACTAAGGATATTTTCCAGCCATGTATGCCATGTTGACTGGAACGGAACATTTTATAACATTTCCGACCATGTGAAATTGGGATTTTCCAACCATGTGAACTTGGGACTTTCCAGGCACGTTACTTTGCCAAAGGGTATCACAAGGCAACACACTCTGGAAATTTAACATAGATGTGGGAACCAACCATTCTTGAGACCATTTTCCCAACGGAAACCGATTTCCAGCTTCTATTTGACAAGGGTATGCAGTAAACCCACATACTTGGGTTTTACACGGTTTTGCTATTCCAGGGTTGGCTAAGTCGGATCGTAACTTCTGAGGTGTTTGCAACCGAACATGCCAAACATAGTGAATACCCCTATGTTATCCCTTGATCTTCCGATGTTTCCTGAGCCTGAACCTTGGCCCAAACCGAAAACAACCTTTCTGCGCTTTTCATGCCTTATCCTGCCTTCTCATCTTGTATACAATAGATCTGCGTAATAGGAATTGTAAATGTATGATTGTAAATTAAAGCACCTTTAACAACATTTAACAACCATTGATGACCTATCGCTATGGAAATCCGTCAGTTCGATGAATTTCCCAGGACCTCAGCCCCCGCCTGTCGCCACCAGGACTCAATCCCCTCAGCCTGGAGCACCTGTTCCTGTGATCCAACGGATTTTTGCACCGCAAATCGTGGACTTCTCTATAGGCTATCTATAGGATCGATAGGTAATACCAACTAAATCCTCACAGCATTTCTGTGCAAGCACCGTCTTCGCAGCAACAAACAACTAATTTCAAATGATGATTTTCAATTAAACATGGATACAAAACTGGACACTTACCATCTAAACATGGGGAACTTAGCTTCGAAAATGGTGGGAACAGGTGTAACATGCGGATTCAACCAACACTATTGCGATTTGGCTGTGCCTGGAAACGGCTGATTGAACCCCAAGTAACTGATTTTTAACAAGCACAATAATGACAAATCGGTTTAGGGGAATTAATCCACATGATCTTAAGCGTAAAGGCTTGATCTCTCTCTCTCTCTCTCTGTCTCTCTATGCGTGTGGGTATTTCATGATATATATATATATATATATCTATCTATCTGTCTGTCTGTCTATCGATCGATCTATCTATCTACCTATCTATCTATCTATCTGTCTATCTATCTACCTATCTACCTATCTACCTATCTACCTATCTACCTATCTACCTATCTATCTTTCTATCTATCTATCTATCTATCTATCTATCTATCTAATCTATCTTATCTATCTATCTAATCTATCTAATATATCTATATAATCTATCTAATCTATCTAATCTATCGATCGATCGATCTATCTATGTATCTATCTATCTATCTATCTAACGATCTATCTATCTATCTATCTATCTATCTATCTACATGAATAAACAAATCAAACAAAAACACCATACAAACCCAAACATTAAGGGCGTTGTCACCTTTGGGGGAGGAAATGGAGGGGTTGTTTTTCATCCTCGGCCCCAAAGAGGCGCCACGGCCGTTTCGCCAAGGTACCATTGCTCGCTGCAGCCGAGTGATCGAGGCTTCAGATTTCAATTCTCCTCACGGATTTGTTGGTTACATCCCCCATGATGTTGTAGCCTGGACACGTCTAAAAGAATGTGTCTTGGTTGCTGAAGAAACCTCCATTTGAATCGGGGTTCAGATAAGGGGGGAGGAGTTGTGCAGAGGATTTTGATAAGTACAAGACACGAATCATCCGGCCTGCAACTACAAAATTGGATGCATGGTCCTTTTTTTGCAACTACAAAATACAGAGAACAACTTGATTTGATTCTGAAAACAATTCAAGATATGCACTACAAAAACGTATGCATCTGAAGTTGAAAAATAGCCGAAAATCGGAAATGCTAACATGAATTTTCCCAATAACATTTTGTAGTTGGGTCTATGCCATCCAAAGTTCCGACCAACATACTTTTCAGAAAACATTTTGTAGTTGTCATTGATTGAATTTGATTGGATCAAGTGTTGACCTCGTGCAGTTGTTAAATACGATTCTGTACTGGCATCGGGTTAAAAATAGTTATAGGTTACGCACTGGCAGCGAGTTCAATTACAGGTTAGGTAGTGGCAGCGGGTTCAATTACAGATTATGTATTGGCAGCGGGTTCAAAATAATTACAGGTTATGAAGATCATAAGAACCGCTCAAAAACAAGTAAACAAAATATAGTTTACATTATGTTGGATGCTTCAACTGACTCAACATATACAACTACAAAATGCAAATGTGATTTTATGCTGGATGCTTCAATTGACTCAACATATACAACTACAAAATACAAATAAGGATTTTAAATGAAACAACTACAAAATGAATGCAAATTAAAAAAAAGGTTGGCCCAACTCCACTTTTTTGTACAAAACGACCCCTGGCTGGCAATCTGTACTGTAGCCCAAGTCCTCCCCTTTATGTAGCTGTTATTTGATCCCGGATCCATTTGATGCGTTGAATCATCATTTCTCCATCTGATCTCCATGTGATCTCCATTCCACCTCCATGTTTGTTGCTTCAACCTCCCTTCTCCACGGCCCCAATCGGCCCCATACATCCACCAGGTCCTGCTGCTGCCTCCGGCACGTCCATCCGCCACTTCCGCGGCAAAACAAAGCCCTTGGACACCTCAAAACAAACAAACAAAAAAGTAGTCAATTTGGGAAAAACATTGGACAAACTACCAACAGTGTCCGCCATTCATGGACTTTGCCAAGAATAAGCAAGAATATCTGAGGATACCTGAGGCAGGATAACATATAGAAAGTCTTAAGCCACTAAGCCATGTTGCCGAGCAAATTGCAATGTGCAGAAGGAGTCTGAAGAAAACTCTCAAGAACTACAATGTTATGAATCTAAAGGTCTCATGTCTTCAAAGGCTCAGACATGCGCAGACCTTGCGATTAGTGGGGTTGGGACTAAATCACCTCAAGGCATCAGCCGGCATCAGCCGGCCTCCTCCCATCGCCCATTTGTTTGTTTCCGGACTTCTGACACCAGCACAGGATTTCTCGCCTGGAACGCAGCCAAATGCGTCGCCCAGCAGAAGTAATCGTAAAAGAGACTGCGCAGTAGGCACATTTAATCATCTTGCTACTGTAATCCTATCATCATCATCATCATCATCACCATCACCTTATCTCCTTCCAGAATTGGTCATGGCCAATCTTACGCTCCCCGTCCCCCTTGAAAATAGTAACAGTAATATAGAGATTCATGGAGCTATTTTCGTGCATTACATGTATTCATCCAGGGGCAAGCACTCGCCCATCACTGCCAACTTTTCACCAGGCTGTACCGAATGACCGACTGTTCACCTTGAGGTGCTTGTGCGACATGATGATGCGAACGAATTCTTCACCTGTGGCAGGGAGAATATGCGGCAACCAAGATGTCTTGCTATTTTGCCTAATGATTGGACCCCAACATGCGCATGCAAAAGCACACACAAATACACAAGCATCATATATTAACATATCTAGATATATACATATATCATTATATATATATATCTCTCTCTCTCTCGCTCCATCGCCTTCTCGAAGCGTTCAGCTCTGCTAAAACGCATACCTCTCATATACTTTCTGGTATTTCAACGTGGCTAGACGGAAAATCCTCCAGAAGATCATCCATGTCATTGACAGCTTTTTGTCCATGGACATGATGGTCTTCCATTGCCTTACTGCCTTACAGGACGCTATCCACCTTGCACATCTGGACAGGAGGCACATGCCACTTTTGGCGCCCTGTGAAGATTCTCACAGAACAACATTGTATGACCCTCATTATGGTGAGATTATAGAGAATATATAACTACTTTACTTCGAGCTATCCCCATCATGACATCTATACGTTTTGTTGCTGGCAAAACTTCTGGCATTCTATCTGACATATCTTCTGGCATTTTATCTTGCATATCTTCTGGCATTCTATCTGGCATATCTTCTGCCATTCTACCTGGCATATCTTCTGCAATATGTTCTGGCATATCTTCCGGCACTCTATCTGGCATATCTTCTGGCATTCTATCTGGCAAATCTTCTTGCGTTCTGGCATATCTTCTGCAATATGTTCTGGCATACCTTCTGGCACTCTATCTGGCATATCTTCTGGCATTTTATCTGGCACATCTTCTGGCATTCTATCTGGCATTCTATCTGACATCTTATCTGGCATTCTCTCTGGCATACCTTCTGGCATTCTATCTGGCATATCTCCTAACATTCTATCTGGCATATCTTGTGGCATTCTATCTGGCAAATCTTCTGGCGTTCTCTCTGACATACCTTCTGGCATTCTGGCATATCTCATGGCATTTTATCTGGCATATCTTCTGGCATTCTATCTGACATTCTATCTGGCATATCTTCTGGCATTCTATCTGGCCGTTGAGGTCCAGCGGTGCACACTGAGCTGAGCAGGTCCCAGGTCGAGGTCCAGCAGTGAATATTGAGCTGGGAAGTTCCCAGGTTGAGGTCCAGCGGTGCACACTGAGCTGGGCAGGTCCCAGGTTGAGGTCCAGCGGTGCCCACTGAGCTGGGAAGGTCCGAGGTTGAGGTCCAGCGGTGCCCGCTGAGCTGGGAAGGTCCCAGGTTGGGTGCCCACTGAGCTGGGAAGGTCCCAGGTTGAGGTCCAGCGGTGCACACTGAGCTCGGACGTTGGCGAAGAGCTTGGCGAAGAGTTGGCAAGGCAACAGTGGACGTGGAAGTGGAGGCAGAGGTGGTGAAGGAGGCTGGCGGAGGAGGAGCAGGAGGAGCAGGAGGAGGAGGATAGCTAGCCGAGGAGGAGGAGGAGGAGGATAGCTAGCCGAGGAGGAGGAAGAGGAGGAGGAGGAGAACAACTGTGATGAAATCCAACAACCCTCACCTGGCAGGTGGGGAAATACCTATATCAAATGTGAAACCCATTGCAATCCCTTTCACCTAATGTTAAATACCACCAAACGAAGCCCTGCTAAAATGTATTGGTGTGTATTGAAGCTATTGGGGGCCCACTCAAGGGGGTATTTGCCACAGCGGAAAGGGATTATGATTAATGTTGGCTGCTTAATAGTAATTACCTCCCTCCCCCCCTATTTTTCCCCACCTGCCAGGTGAGGGTTGTTAGATTTTACGTCAGTTGCCTGCTCCTCTCCTCTCCTCCTCATCTCCTCCTCCTCTCCTCCTCCTCCTCCTCGTCGTCCTCCTCCTGCTCAACCGCGACCCTCGACGCACAGTGGTCTCTGTCGGACCTCAACAACGACCATCCACGCCCAGTGTTCCCTGCCGGACCTCAACCACGACCATCACCGCCAGTGTTCCCTGCCGGACCTCAACCGCGGGTATCCCCGCCCAGTGTTCCCTGCCGGACCTCAACCACGACCATCCACGCCCAGTGTTCCCTGCCGGACCTCAACCACGACCATCCCCGCCCAGTGTTCCCTGCCGGACCTCAACCACGACCATCCACGCCCAGTGTTCCCTGCCGGACCTCAACCGCGAGTATCCACGCCAAGTGTTCCCTGCCAGACCTCATGTAGGAAGATATGGGACAAAGAATGTGCAGAAGAAAGTTACAAAGATAGAATGCCAGAAGATTTGCCGGATAGAATGCCAGAAGATATGCCAGAAGATATGCCAGATAGAATGCCAAATAGAATGTCAGAAGATATGTCAGACAGAATGCCACAAGATTTGCCAGATAATATGCCAAAAGATATGCCAGATAGAATGCCAGAAGATTTGCCAGATAGAATGCCAGAAAATATGCCAGGAGATATGCCAGATAGATATGCCAGAAGATATACCAGAAGATATGCCAGATAGAATGCCGGAAGATATGCCAGATAGAATGCCAAAAGATATGTCAGAATATATGCCAGATACAATGCCAGATAGAATGCCAGAAGATATGTCAGATAGAATGCCAGAAGATATGCCAGATAGAATGCCAGAAGATTTGCCAGATAGAATGCCAGAAGATATGCCAGAACATATGCCAGAAGATATGCCAGATAGAATGCCAAATAACATGTCAGAAGATATGTCAGATAGAATGCCAGAAGATTTTCCAGTAAGAAAATGTATAAATTTGTAAATGTCATGGTGGGGATCACACGAAGTAAAGTATTTTTTTTAGGGGGGGGTCAACCTTCCTATAATTTTTTTTGGGAATCTATAGCTGGGATCATGATATGTATCTGATAGATTCTCCATGGTTTTGTTGGGTTTCTGATAGATTCTGAATGGATTTGGTAGTTGGCAAGGCGGAAGTGGACATGGAAGTGGGGGCAGAGGTGGTGGAGGCGAAGGAGGAGGAGAAGAAGGAGAAGAAGGAGAAGGAGAAGGAGGACAACAAAATTGGAGTTGCGGAAAAAAGTTTCCACTATTGCCATGCCTGGTGCAGGTTTGTTATTGCTATTCTGGGGCTTGCAAAGGGGGTACCCTTTGTGGACCTGTTTTCTTGCTTTTTTTAATAAGGGTTTTATAAGGAAATCAGTTGTTTGGTAATTGGATCAGATTTCTGGAATCTAAGCTTTTGCTAATCAAAAGTGAAGGCTGCTTTGAAAAGGATTTGCTTTACTTGACTCTTTTGGCAATACTAAAAGTAAATGGAGCTAATTGACTTTTAGTAGTGGAGAAAAAAACGGAGTTGGGAAAAAAGTTTCCACTATTGCCATGTTGGGTCCACTATTGGCCATGCCCTCTGGACAAGGTCTGAACATGACTCTTTTGGCAATACTAAAAGTAGATAGAGCTAATTGACTTTTAGTATTGGAGAAAAATTGGAGTTGCGGAGAAATGTTTCTACTATTGACAAGATATCACTATTGGTCAGACAACATTAGAATTGATAGTACTTCCCCGCAGCCTGAGTAGGACTCCATGCTTTTCAAGTTGATCTTTGGGTCACCTGCAAAGACTGGCGATGCCCATGCGAGATCGAGATCTGCTAAGGTGACAGGTTGAGAAGTTGATGGAACATCCTTTGCGGGCTTTACATGTCTTCAATCAACTTGGGGCTTTGAGAATTGCAAAAATACTTTGGGACTTAAAGTTCTCGAAGTCACCCTGACAATAAAACAAAACGCTCGATACTTCAAGTCTCCTGAGTGATCCTTGGTCCGCACCTGCAGTGACAACCCGGCCATCGGAGGTTTCAATGCACACCACAGGCGACAGCCAATTGCCTCGCAAAATGCCAGGACATTTCGTGCGCAAAGAAAATGGACGAATGCCGTTACGTTCCATGAACGTATGCTCTGTATATCTATCTATCCATCCATCTACCTATCTATCTACCTACCTATCTACCTATCTATCTACCTATCTATCTACCTATCTATCTACCTTCTATCTACCTATCTATCCACCTATCTTTCTAATCCTACCCTACCCTACCCTACCCTACCCTACCCTACCCTATCCTATCCTATCCTATCCTATCCTATCTATCGCTAAATACATCCATCCATCCATGGATATACATGGATCATTTGGGATGGCAAATGTCATGCAGGTTCTGGTACAAGCTGGTCAGACCGAAGGCCATTCATTCCTGAGCCTGGTTCATTTCAACCCCGAAACTCCCACAGCAGTCAGTTGTAGCCCCGATCTTCCAACATGGTCGATATCAAGTATGAAAGGATGTACAGATTGTCCCAACATTTCCCAATATTTCCTGACATAAAGGACTGAATATGAATGAACCCATCTGTCATGGCCCTAGAATCTCCACCTCCACCAGTCACCACCGTGGTACGCTTGTAGATCAATGGTACCCAGCGTGACTGTGCTGTCGTCGGGTCCGCAAGCAACTCTGAGGGGTCCCAAGTCCACCAGCCCACGGGTGCAGTCGAGCTCAACAGACCTGGGGGGCCATGGGGCTGGTCAGTGGATTTGATTGAAACATCAAAAAATGATATAGGGACTTGATCATCAAACATCATGAAAAACTGAAGGGATGTGCGGGATATGTTGTTGACTCTTTTTTGGACTGTTGGGTTAGTCTTTCAAAGACCCTTTGCAGGATCTATTTCTCTTGTGTCTTATCACATGTCACATGCAAGAGTTTCCGGCAAGAACGCCTCCTTCCACCAATTCCGGGATCTATGGATTCTCAAGCATCTAACTGAAGTACCCCGACAGATTACGTGATACTAACATTCACATATGTTTGTATATATATATATGGGTGTATGCGTGCGTGTGCTTGTATTGTGCATACATCTATAACATACATACACACAAACATACATACATACATACATACATACAGACATAAATACGTACGTACGTACATACATACATACATTACATACATTACATACATTACATTACATTACATTACATTCCATTACGTTACATTACATTACATTACATTTAATACATACATACATACATACATACATACATACATTACATACATACATACATTACATACATTACATACATTGCATACATTACATACATTACATACATTACATACATTACATACATTACATACATTACATACATTACATACATTACATACAGTACATACATTACATACATTACATACATTACATACATTACATACATTACATACATTACATACATTACATACATTACATACATTACATACATTACATTCATTACATTACATTACATTACATTACATTACATTACATTACATACATTACATACATTACATACATTACATACATTACATACATTACATACATTACATTGCATACATACATTACATACATTACATACATTACATACATTACATACATTACATACATTACATACACTACATACATTACATACATTACATACATTACATACATTACATACATTTAATACATAACATACATACAGTACATAC